GTGCGCCCCGCAATGCCGAACCGGTGGTTTCACGTTTCTGCATCGATGAAGGAACCGGCAATTCTAAGGCGTTCTCGCGATAGGATACGTTTGTTGCAAACACTAATCGGCTCGACGTCAATGCGGGAATCTATTTGTGATTTACACCTATTCATAGAAATTCGGTACGTTCGGGCTGTATCTTCCCACTGTTGGAACCGATAGCGGGATTTTCTCTATACGCATGGTGTTCCGACATTTGGTGAGTCAGGTGTTTAATATTCTTTTGTAACCGAAACTATTTTTTGTCGATTGCGCCGGTGATCTGTCATACTTAGGCCGGAAGATGTCTGTCACAGGAGCAATTAACAGGTATATTTTATTAAACGATGATTATTGGCAGTTTCTTGTGAAACACTGAAAAGGATACGAAGGTTTATCGTTACGCTGATGCCGGAGTGATAAGGGAAATCACCAACGCATTCGCGGCTGTAGCATTTTTATAGTTCACGAGCTGAAATTCAAAAATGCTGTCTGCTATCGTAAGAAAACTTTAATTAATAAATAAATGCTGTCGGACCGTCAACCCCTATCGATATAGAGAAATTGTGTTATTAGATCCGTCTGGTGAAGCGATTCCGCTCGCCGACTGTCCTACAGTCTTAAACGAGGTATTTTGTCGTAATTCTGTTAAGTCATCGTGTGCGACCTTTGCTAATTTGCGGTATAAAGATGGGCCCAATTATAATTCAACCCCTTGGTATAGAAAAAAATTGTCGAAGCTGAGAAAGCGTCTTCAAGCCCAGGAATAGATATCATCAAGGCTAAGTTTTGAAAAGTACCAAGATATATTCGAGTGTTATTCTGTCAAAAATATTCCAACAATCCATCGACGAGTCCACCCTATTACCCGATTGGAACATCGGAAAAGTGGTTCCGGTGCACTAGAGGCACTAAACGGATAAGAAAAAACGCGAGATGAAGATGTGGTTGGTTCATGGATACAAGCCTCAGATTTTCAAGTGGAGCGCTTGCCAGGGACGCGGCTATTCTCCCCCCCCCCCCCCAACCCTGAACGCTGTTGTCCGCTTGGCTCACGCCGTAATTTTTGTCAACAAAGCCTCATTAAGTGTGAGGCCCACGGGATGGCTTCATGCTCTCTCATAGTAGAGTACTAAGTACTCAAAATAGTTAACCACTCTTTTTTACAGCGAAAGCTCTCATGGAATCACAACACGGGTCACATGCGGCGCCGTAGTTGTCCGCCGCCGCCGGTGTCCGCTTCCACAAATATGGAAGTGAAACCTCTCCCTTCAATTACCGGCCAATTTCACTAACCAGTATCCCGTGGAAAATTCTTGAACATGTCATTTTCACTGACATTGTGAAGTTCCTAGATGCGAACTCATTCTTTCCAAATGCTCAACATGGCTTCCGCAAATCTTTGTACTGTGAAACACAGCTGGCATTATTTACCCATAAATTACACATAATCCTTGATCATCGTTCCACTGTTGATCGTATCTTTCTCAATTTCGCAAAGGTCTTTGAAAAAGTTTGCCCTAATTTACTTCTCCTGAAATTAAGCAGGTTAAACATTCATCATAAGCTACTTTCTTGGATTGAACATTTTCTAAACGGTCGCTCACAATATATGCCTGCTAACACTTTTGATTCCCAACTAAGTCCCGTTCATTCTGGCGCACCCCAAGGTTCGGTACTTGGTCCCCTCTTTTTGTCATTTATATTAATGACTTACCTGAATGTATTACATCTAATATTCATTTATTTGCTGATGATTGCGTAATATGTCGAGAAATCTCTGACACAGGCGACTTAACAATTCTTTGCAATGACATTAACTCTGTATCTAATTGGTGTAAAACATGGCTAATGGAACTAAACACTAATAAATGTAGTCTTACGCGTTTCCCGCACATCTTCTTTCTCCACTACTTATCTGCTTGACAACTCCGCTCTTGAACCTGCAACATCTTATCTCTACCTAGGTGTTCACATAACTAACACTCTCACCTGGTCTGTTCACATTTACAAAATAATTATTAATGCTAACCGCTCGTTAGGTTATCTCTGACGCAACTTTTCTTCTGCCCCTGTCCCTTTAAAACTCCTCCTTAACAAAACCTTAATACTAACTAAACCACAGTATGCCGCATCCATTTGGGACCCGTCCACCAGTGTACGAACCTCTGCTCTTGAGCTAGTCCAAAATAATTCTGTCCGCTTTATCCTTGGCAACTACAGTCGCACCGCAAGTATCGCATCAATGAAATACCCCTTAGAGCTTCCGTCTCTCGCCCGTCGCCGTAAATTCTACCGCATATGTCTTTTTCATAAAATATACTACAGTCACACCCTGCATGATAACCTCATTCTCCCTCCATCATACATCTCTCGTTCTGACCATCCCCGAAAGGTGGGAATCTTGCGATGTTCAACTCGCACATGTTATGATTCATTCATTTCCCGAACCTCACAAGACTAAACAATATTCCAGGATTAATCACGTCAATTGTCTATCATTATCATTTTCATAACGTTTTAAACTCAAGTGCACTGCTATGCAACTAACCAATTATGTGAGTATTCTCTTGGCAAACTGTCAGATTTTTTTTGTTGAGTTAAAAATGCGGCTGTAAGTTGTTTTTACTATGGTAATATGCTTTTTCTCCAACAGTCTGATTCTCGCCTGTATAGTTACAACTTGTACTGTTATTTTTCAAGCTAACATTGTATTTACAGAAGAAAGCTTGTATTGTGTTTCTTTTAAATGGACCTCTCCCCTCTATAATGCCTTTGGCCCTGAGGTTAATTCCAAATAAATAAATAAATAAATAAATAAATAAATAAATAAATAAATAAATAATATTAACTTTTGATGTTTGCTGTTAACTCGGAACAGTGTATCGTTTGCACGCAGTTGTGCAGCAGGAAGGCTGATGTGTACAAACACTCAGTCTGCATGGCAGAAGCGGAGCCAGAACCTAGTGGGCTCAAACAATAACTGTTTGAACGCATTCAGCACGACGATTAATCTCTTTGGCTCCATCGTTTTTGCAGCCAGACGTATTCCTTTGGCCAAATACGCACCCCGCATGTATGTACAGCTTCAGTAGCCTTGCTGTATGCAGTTTCAGTTCGTGGTAGAATGTACAAGGCTGGTGAAAAGTTATTACGTCACTGTCTACTATAACGTCTCGAGAAATCGAAATTCTTGAATTTTGGAAGGGGCGATCGATGGTGATCGCTGTGCACTCTGACAACATTCGCGATGTTCATAGACTGTCGCGCCCCCTAGCGGAATTCAGGAGCATCCACTCGAGGATGATAACTAGGAAGACGCTTCCTTGTTCGGCTGCGCTAGCCTTAGTGTTAACGTGTTAGCAAGAAACAAACACAAATCACTTTGTTTTTTGCATCAGTGAATATACCGGGCCGTTCGTGATGCGATAAATTTAATACGTTCTTGCGAGACGCGAAGTTTTCGTGAAAGTGCTCGGCAACTCGCGCGCTCGACCATAGCCCGAGGAAAACATATATAAGCTTTGCAAGATTTTCTGCAGTCACTTTGGATAGTTAAATGTTATCGTCTTACCTTCAGTTCTAACTCACCTTGTTTTTATTCGTAGTCGAGTGAACTGGTGACAGTTGATCGTGGGTTAACGTTTGAAAGGACACACACACACACACACACACACACACACACACACACACACACACACACACACACACACACACACACACACACACACACACACACACACACACACACACACACACACACACACACACACACACACACACGCACACACACACACACGCACACACACGCACGCGCGCGCGCGTGCGCGCGCGAAGGCACAAAAACATAACAATTGCTGAGTTTTAACATCTCAAAGCCACCGTATAATTATAAGGGACGCCGCAGTGAAGCCCTTTGGAAATTAGCCCACCTGATGCTTTAACGTGCAGCTGTATGTAAGTACGCGAGTTTCAAGCATTTTCACCTCCATCATCAATACAACCGCCGTGGCCGAAATCCGATCCCGTGGCCTTCTGGTTAGTAGTCGAGCACAATAAGTTCATAACCACCTTGTGAGATGGTGGGGAGGGTAAAGTGCAAAATGAGAAAGCGATTAGGTTGTCCTTTCGGCGTTGCATGGTGAAACTGAAGATTATTGATTTCTTTTGCTTCATGTTCCTGTTCCCAGCTTCGCACGTTAAAGTGCAATGCCATTACTCTGCACCCACCAAAATGTTACGGCGAATTTCTTCGTGAAATCAGGTCAGCCGATAACGATCTTAGTCATGGCCTGAAGGATGAATCCTGGCCAAACATCGCGTGGAACGAAACAAGTTTTGAAACCCAGCCACGTAGTTCTATGGTAACAGTCCTTTCGAAGTCCGAATACTCTTTCTACAATGTTTGACATCTTTGCAAAGTAACGAACGTTCGCTTATCGTATTTTTGCTTAAACTTCACATGCTAAATTTCTTAGTAATACGCTTGGAAATTCGAACAAGGTGCGTTTATCGGGCAGCGTGATGGAAGCATGTGGTATGCATTGAGTGTGTGCATGAGTTTCTGAATAATTTCCTTTTTGGTTTGAAGTCTACAAGAGGAATTGTAAATGTTCATAATGTTTACGTTTAAGTAAGTTTTACAACATCGGTGTTTTACTTGTTTATTTATAAATACAAGTCGCTACGCTTAAGCGGCTAAGCAGCTGTGAAACGGTTAAATTGTAAAATTCAGCGTTGCACACTTTTTTTTTCAAGTGGCACTGCACGATGCATGCTTTGACACGCGGCTATGCTCAAGTTAATATCGATCAAATGTAATAGATTAATGCAAATAATTGTTTCAAATGTCACTTTTTGGAATATAATGCGTCTATTCTGCATTCTAGATTTGTTGACAAATCAGATTTCAAGCTAAGTATAGCGTAACAATAACACAGGCGTACTCTTTTCCCGCAGTACGCATACGTCTCGTGGCATTGGACACCTCAGGGATACTGAAACGATGAAGTTCACCCTCAACCCCATCGCTCTGTCCAATCAGATCCGCCAGCTGGGTGATCCCCGAACACGCGACTACCCCGTCGTAACGGACCCTTTGTTCATGTTTACGCTCTTGGCCACGTACCTCTATTTCGTCAAGATAGCTGGTCCGCGCTGGATGAAGAACAGGGAACCCTTCCAGATCATCAACATCATACGCTTCTACAACCTGTTCTCCATAGCTGTGGCCATCCGCTTCCTCTACCTCGTGCTCAAGTTCACCTACCTTCCGGGCGGCCACTACAACCTCTGGTGCCAGGGCATCACGGGTTACATGACCGACGAGATGCGGGAGTACTACCGCACGGGATGGATCTACATCGCGATACGCTACACCGACCTCCTCGACACGGTGTTCTTCGTGCTGCGCAAGAAGTTCACCCATGTCTCGCTCCTGCACGTGCTGCATCACACGATAGTGGCGGCCAACACGTGGTTCTTCGCCCTGTTCGCGCCCGAAGGTCAGCCAACCCTGAGCATGTGCCTGAACGTGTTCGTCCACGTCATCATGTACTCGTACTACTTCCTGGCAACGTTCGGTCCTTCCGTTCGCAAGTACCTGTGGTGGAAGAAGTACCTGACCACGCTGCAGATTGTACAGTTCGTGCTCATCATGATACACTTGTCCATACCACTGTTCGTCGACTGCGGTTTCCCGAGGCACCTGATCATGCTGGGCAACGTGCAGACGTTCCTAATTCTCTGCCTCTTCGTGAACTTCTACATCCAGACGTACGTCGTCAAGCCCGCTAATTCTACTCCACAGGTTGGTCAAGGTGCCGAAAGGAAAGCAGTCGGTGCAGTTCGGAACGGAAAAAATGAGTGATCACCATGTTTGAGGGTGAAGAATACTTTGCAGTGTTGTTTTACCATGCCACCTTAATCGGAATAGCCCTTGTTACGTCCTTGCACGCCACGAATGGGAATACAGACATTATCTTAATGCACATACGATCTCCCCACAGTGCTTAGTCTGGGGCTCTTCCCATGCTGATGTCGACCTGACGGCACGCAGATAAAGTGTAAGGTGGCATGTTGCATGCAGCGGCATGGTTCCTGGCCAGCGATTCACGCCTGCTGACCAGCAACTGCGAGAAAGAACATTGAACCAGTTGGTTTCAACGAATGAATTCTCTTTAGTGTGCTTGAAAATATGAACGCTGGATCTCTTTTGGCAGGTTGTGTTAAAAGGTATTATGATAACAGCCATTTATAACATCATAGCAAATAAAGCTTTATTTGATAGTATGCCAACGATATTTTCTAGAGACGCGAATCCTGTTGGTCACCGCCCCCCCTCCCCTTTTTTTCACTGTAATTAGAGACCTATTGTCTCGCGGTACCTTCATGTACGAAAAATACTATATTGTACTGTTGCTACTAGTGTAATAAAGTTACTGCAACACACAGAAAATGTAGCTGTGTTCTGGAACAGCGAAGAACGCGTCACCGAAGTGGCTGATGCGCGAAAGAAATCTCTTCGAACTTCAGGCTGTGTGACTATTTTGGGGCAAACCAGACGGAAGGCTGTACGATATTCGAGAAATATGTGCCCACTGAAGTGGAATCCTTAAAGTGGACTTCTATGTGTATGAGCTGCTCAGTGTTCCGCTGTAAAAGTTTTGAGACACCGCATATAAATCGAAGGATTGCGTAGTACTCGGAAGTGGAGCAGGAAACGAGGAGGCTAAAAGAAAGAGAAATATTCATGTTCGCGAGAGCTGCACTGTACAATTTATTCGTCGGCGCTGAGGCTTGATGCGTATTGCAGGCCTTCGAACGTTCAAAATAGCATACAAAGATTGTGCTGTAAGTCTGCCATTTTGGTCGGGATCATGTGTGGAAGCGTACAAGACTTACCAGTTGCGTTCGTGTCGGCTAAACGGGGATACCTCATTGCAAGATTACTTCTTCGCGAAGGAAGTCATTTGATCATTGCTGCTCTCGCACAATAAAAAAAAAAATCAATTGTTGACGCTGTGCGCAACGTTTCGATCATTACTACATTGTATCATCGTGAGTAACGAGATCAGTTGGTATACTGGCAGTATTCACATAAAACAGTGCCAATAATGAGAGACAAGAAAAGAAGAAGACCGACGGCGGCACTGACTTACAACAAGATTTATTCGCTGGAACCGCGCAATATATACTTGAGCAGTATCTGACAAATAAGAGGAATGACAAACCAAAGAAAACAGAATTCACCTAACAACCGAGTAATCATCGTGATAACGCGCCATGAACATCACGTGTGCCAACATTCTGAAGAAGATGTATATATATTTTTGTGATAGAGCGATCGAAGGCCTGCTTACACATAGATTGCCCAGCCTTTCCATTTCTGCAGCCTAATAAATTTCGCGTATCATCTGATCCCGATGACGCCTAATGACCGTACAATGCTGCAAGTTGGGGACACAACCGCAGTCCCGGCAAGGAATGCACGGACGTTTGAATTCATATGCACGCATTTGGTTGCAGAGTATTCGAGCTCCCCTAAACAAGGTGCGCCGTGTCATTCAAGTAACTCTGCCCGTAATAATAAAAAGCGCCGAAATTAGGGCCGAGGCAATTGAAACGTTCGCAGGTGTAACGTGGCAGCAGAAAGCACAACACCGGGTGGATTGTCGGATAATGGGAGAGGCCTTTGCCTTGCAGTGGGCGTAGTCGGGTTGATAATGATGGTGACGAAAATAATTGTTTGACTGATATGTGGGGCTCAACGTCCCAAAACTACCATATCATATTATGAGAGACATCGTAGTGAAGGGCTCCAGAAATTTCGACCACCTGAGGATCGTTAACGTGCACCCAAATATAAGCACATGGGCCTACAGCATTTTCGTCTCCACCGAAAATGCTGCCGCCGCAGCCGGGATTCGATTCCGCGACCTTCGGGTCGGCAGCCGATTACTTTAGCCGCTAGACCGCCGCGGCGGGGCAGGTGATGAAAATTAGGGCGGGAGGGTAAGACGGTTTGACGATTACAACTCGGTGATCATGACATGAAGAATGTCACATGCTTGTCGCATTTTCCAAGGCGAAGTGGCACGTACTCGGGGCGGGTATGGGCCAGCTGGTATGTGCCACAGGTGATAGGTATTTTAGATGTACTCAGGAAAGGAGAGAACACTTATGGTTAACGTTTACGCTTGAGCGTCGAGAGAAACCTGCCATTGACAGCGTTGGCTGGAATGCAAATAATAAATGTCAGTGTCCCAGCAGGAACCGTAGCTGTATGTATATATATACAAGCAAAATTGAAAATGCTTTGAAGTGGGGGGGAGTGAGCGACAAGTTCAGGACACGGGGCCATAAATTGTAAATGAGAATTTAAACAACGTTTCGTAGCCAAGGCTTTCGTAGCCCCCACCTTGGCTACGAAAAACTGAATTCACAAAATTGTGCTCTTACAATTTATGGTCGCGTGTCTTGATCTTGATCTCGCGTTCCCTTATTGCTTAACTCTCGGTTTTGTCAGAAGCTGGATGAGAAATCAGCGCATGCACTCTAAATAAATATCGAGTAAAAAGGGTGTCTTTTTGTCCCACAACAATAATCGTCATCAGGCTTGCGAGTGCTTCCTTTCTTGAAAACTCGGCGCCGGCCACTTTCCTATCGAGAATGCAATGTAACCCTGATAGTGGGCATGTCGATCGTGACCGGAATGTACCGGGCGCGAGGCGATAGCGCAAGGATGGAACGCAATATAGATGACGATTATTGTTGTGGGACAAAAAGACACCCTTTTTACTCGATATTTTTTTAGAGCGTGCTCTTTCCTGCAAGCGAACGCCTCGCATATACCGGGATTCAAGGGCGCACCTGGCAAGGTCAGGTGGAAGAGTCTGCAATGAGGTCCACACGAAAGGGGGAAGCTACTACCACGTTAGCTACTAAAATACATTTTTTTTAATTCACCACGTTAGGTGGAGTGTCACGTACTTACCCGTACAATTATACAAAATGACTTCAAATAACGGTATGAAATGGTATTACATGTCGATGTAACCTAGCAGGCAAGGTTGAAGGACGCGGGCGCGATTTTCTGTCGGGGCGGCGATCTTTTGACTAGGGCAAAATGCCAGAAGCTCATTCGCACAAAGACTTAGCTGCAACGCTGGCGCGACGTGCTCGACATTCCGCAACTTCTTATGTTCATACCGGAGTATCGGAACACAAAGCTCGTTGAATAAGTTTTAAGCACATGTAATTTACCCGTCCTCCAAAGTAGGAAGCACTGGCTCATTGGCATTGATACGCTTGGAGGTGTCCGCTCGAGTTTTTTTTTTTTTTGCTCTATCTGAATGACATTCACGTGTGTTTAGAAAAAAAATGTTTAGCGATTTTGAGTACTTGGTATTCAACTATGGGAGAGCAGTAAGCTGTCCCGGTGAGTCGTTGAGAACGACGAACAGTACATGTATGAGTGTCATGCGTTTCAGCCCCTTTGAAATGAAACCCTTGTGCGTGAGTTCATCTTACCCATGTAACATCCTACATTTCGTTTTTGCCAGCACTCACAAAATATCATTCAATCCGAATGAGTGATCGTTTATTGAGAACGAAAAGAACAGAACAATGTTTTCTTTCGTGTGAATAGCAGAGAATAGTTGAGATGCATGCAGTGAAACAAAATGAATACGTCGAAAGGGGGCGAAAGAGAATCATGTATATGAAGACGAAACATGGAATGGATGCGATGGCGAGCCAGTTCGTGCGCTGCCAAAATGAACCATATGCATATTGTCATGAATAAAGACTCTGGATAGTACGGACACAGGGTCGACTATCGAAACTCTCAACGTCTCTGGCGCGCAGCCGACACCCGGTATCCGTGCGAACGCTTGCGTCCGAGCCAACGCAGGAGAAGTGGCGTTTTCTGACGTCCGGAGAACGCTGTACCACTTCGTCTTTCTGGCGTAGGACTAGATTGCTGCAATGGCGGAAAGAACAAACATGCACCACTGCTTGAGAATTCCGTGGCCACGTCTCTACCAAAAAGTGGCTGTGGCTTTGAGAGCGTAAATGCGTAACAAAAGCAAGAGCACAGAAACTATAAGTAACTATAGCATATCTTACAGCTGGCTCAATAGGAACCAGGATGGTTCTCTTGCCATAGGCAGCATATCCGGCTTTTCAAGAAAATTGAGCTGGTTGAACACAGAAGAAACGTGGGCGTTAATTCTTCATTCGCGTAATTATGTATTGAATTGAATTAAGTTTATTGCGCAACGAGGTTGCGAGGAGACCAGGCGAAAAAGTTGCACTGAGCAGCCTGAGGTCCAAGGAACGCCCCCCCCCCCCTTTTTTTTTCCACGGCATCCACCACGACATCCGACTACCCGCCCCCAGTTCAAATAAACAATGTGCCTTCCCCACCCAGGGAAAAATTTCGGACTGCGCCCCTGCGCAGGAACCTTGACTGCCAACCGGCGGCACTGCCTAACGGCGTTCAAGTGTTTCAGAAAGTCGTTAAATGGCATAGAAACACTGGCTAGTTTTAGCTAAAGATCTGGTTCCTTTTAAAACGTACCTAACCGCCACGCTGTCATCGCAGTGCATTTGCAGAGTGAAGACGACAAACACTTTACTGAAGCTTTACATCCACAAAGTAGAACTCTTCCTCCTGGCATGTTCTCACACATTTAAGCTTTACATCGCGAAACCATGATCGTCCTTCGTTACTGCTTACCTTTGGTGTAGCACTGAAGTTGAGCCACGAGGGCCAAATGCCTCGCGTGAAGAAGCGATCCTCTACCGATTCGTTCGTGGTCCTTTCGTGCACTAAGCGTCTGAGGAGGGCGGCCACCTTGCTGCGCGATCGACGAACCGTCGCCCTCGGCTTGGGAGAAATGGGGCTCAGGTCGCACCTGTTAGAAAAAGATATGGATGGGTAGGTAGGAAACAGTCAGCTTTATGTCATAAAACCACGATGTCATTATGAGGGACGTGGTAGAGGAGGGCTTCGGAAATTTCAACCACTAGGTGTTCTTTAACGTGCACTGAAATCGCACGGCACACAGGCCTATGACATTTCGCTGCCACCGAAATGTGACCGTCGTGAAAACAGCCGTTTAAACAGACAAGCTTACTGTCGCACTTCCACATCTCGCCACACGTCTGCTCTTCACTCACCCAGCAGCGTAGTTAATTTTATTGAGCAGGCAAAAAAAGGGAGGTAGGGGGGTCCAATCATACTTTATGCATGTTAGTGCGTGAGTTTTTATGTGTGCATCTGATATACATACGCAAGGAATAAAAAAAATCGGAAAAAACTTTTACCTTCCCATCACCACTGATTCCACCACCAACCCCAAAAGGCCGTTACCGATAAAGGATCGCTTTACACGGCGATGAAGGAAAACTTTAGCAGGGATCGAGCACCATGTGACAAGCGTGAAGCTTATAAACCAACAACAACAAAAATTGAAGGAAAAATTGGCCCTAGCGACGTGGTTTCCATGCGCTACTATTGCTTGGCTCGCTTTGGTTGAGCCTCCTGTGGGCATGCGTAGGCCTGATCTTACCAACGGCTCGACCAGGCGACCAAAGGAGTGACGCGCAAGTTGCTCCTCCAGCCCGGCCGTCTCTTAATCAAGCGGCAATGCTCGCTACTCGAGATGGGCGGCGTTAGCTTTGTCGTAGCTGCTTTTTGCTTGCTGCACGGATTAACACAGAGCTCAAATTCAAGCTAACAGAGAAGAGTGGTACAATACTTTGAAAGCCTAAATGTCTTGGGCGTCTTGCACATCCGCTTGGAGGACTTCGCCTTGACGTCCCTTTCGTCCACGTCGCCTTTCTCTTCACACGGTAACGCTGTGATCTCCAACGAGTCGCGGCTGAAGGAGGCCTGGCGCGGTTCTTCCAAAGACTGGCACGGGTCCCACGAAAGCTGCGCCGTGTGGAACCGTGAAACCTCGGTGAAATTGTCCAGACAGGAGTCGAACTGCTGCTGCGAAGAGCGGTCTTGATAGTGGGACAATGACACCCAGTCGGGCTGCTCTGCCTGCGAACATTTTTTTTTTGTGCAGCGCAAGAAGTTAGGGCTAAGTCCGTTAGCCGACCATCAGTCAACATAACTGCCGGCTTGGTCTTTCGTGGTGAAAAAAAATGTTTGTCTTCCTCGCTACAAGTGTTTTTAAAGTTTACACACGATTAGAACAACGACAAATAATGTCTTACAATGGGCTTAAAATCAACCAACCTTCATGCGTTGCACGTAGAGCCACAGTTCCTCTTTGTGGGCGTCGTCCAGCTGGACGCCTCTTTCATCTGCCAGTTTTCCCACGCGTTCGAAAGAAAAATCCAGAAGCTCTTCCATCTGGACGCCTTCGTCTGGAACAGGGCCGCACTTTGTTACCGAAGTTTTCAATTAACACGATATAAATTGCATAAGTAAATGTGATGTCACCGACTATACGGTGACAAAGCCGGTTGCAGCCCGAAGGCCCACACTCGGTGCTCCTTCGTGCCTTGTGCCGAGTTCGCGCTGAAACTAGTTGCTTGTAATCTACCGAGACGCCTACTTTGCAACCCCTTTTCGCAATACAACCACTGCAACTGTGAAGCAAGCAATGCGCTTGAAAGTAGACTTCGCATTCTATTCGGATGCCGGACCAGATAGACAACACTTGTGTAATAGTATTCGACACGAAATCCAAACCTGACATTCTATGTTCCATTCTTTTTAACGAGAGAAACAAGCCGGTAAAATGAAGCACTGCAGTTTTTGTGTGTGTGTGTGTGTGTGTGTGTGTGACGGCGTAGGTTAACACATTCTGTGAAAACTTCCACCTAGCATTCTTTTCTGGAATTGGTTTTCATGTGAAAAGCGTACTGAAGGAAGCATAACCACTGCCACGGATAAGCTCGCGTATTTCATTGAACCGAGTACTCGCACGCTTTACGAAGTTTATGCCCCCACCCCAACCCTCCAAAAAAAAAAAGAAATGAAACTATGAGAATTTCTTGACATACCCCAGAGAATTTGCAGTATCTTCTCGTCCAAGCTGAAGCACGGAAGCGAAGCAACGCTGACGTCGACCATGGCTCGAACAACGGGTGTGTCGTAGAGACGAGGTACAGATGATTCTGGCGCGTCGATGAGAGCGAATGAAGGATCACTGCCCGCCTGCGGATTGCTCTGGATTTTTATGCCTCTGTGACGATTCATTCCAATATCTACGTAGCTTTCGTGGCGCAAATTGCTGCGTGACGTCCTGAACACTGAATATCTTATCTTCATACGGCCAAGAGCTACATTTCACGCGTACATGTCACGTGTACATGGCGATTTCGCAGAAGGTGTTATGAGGGGAAAACTTTTGTGAGTCTAATATTGATGAAAAACAAATGTTTATTGTCAGTGTTAAATGCGAACATGGCAGCAAAGGAATCCGGGCTGCGTGCCTTATCCGCTTTTTCTTATTTTATTACGGTGAAAAAAATATTTATTCCAATTTAGATGCGAAGCAGCTCTTTGACTCACGTGTGTAATGCCGTACGTACTGTGCGTCCGTATGAAGGTGCCGCAACGCGTTCCCCTCGCCGCAGGTGTTGCAGCGGTGCCAAGTTGGTCACGCCGCAGCTGCGCGCTGACGTCACGCCCCCCTCGCACGCTTCCCTCGCAGGTGCGCGCTGACGTCACTCTCCCTCATATCCGGCACCCTCGCCGCAGCGCCTGCAGCTGCCGGCTCCTCCGCCCACTCGCAGCACACTTCTCTTTCGCTTCCCCTTTCCACCACCCGCAACGCTTGACCTCACGTCGAGTGGATAGGCACTGCGCCGTGCTCCCGACCGGGTTGCAGAAATTAGGTGCCTTTTCTCTTCTTCTAACCACTACCACCCCCACGTCGAGTGGAAACACTCTTCGGCTCGTTTATCTGCGAGGAAACATGCAACCCAAGCCACCTCCCGTGTCTTTGCGTTTCAAACAGACGTTTACTCGAGTAAATGCTACACCGAGTTTCGCTTCAAACCGTTCTTCCAGCACCTGCGTCGACGCTCGTTTCAACTGGGTCAACGCCGTGCGCACCGCTGCTGCTTCGCATCCCATCAGGGTTCCCTTCGGGGAGATGGTCCATGATTTTTGCTGCTGTTTTTTTTCTCTGCGTGCATTATTTGAACCAAGTTCACATAAGCCTAAACGCATTAAAAACTTACTATATACTTTTAATTTGCGACTGTTTTAAATGCGAAGCATTTCTTAGCGAACTTCGGCGACTTTGAGCGCATCTATCTATCTATCTATCTATCTATCTATCTATCTATCTATCTATCTATCTATCTATCTATCTATCTATCTATCTATCTATCTATCTATCTATCTATCTATTTATCTATCTATCTGTCTATCTATCCGCTTATGACTTTTAGCTCTCCTGGCCGTTTGGATAATGGTATCAATACCAAACTTGGTATAGCATAACATGAATATATGATGAGCATATTTGACTAGTCACAACATGAAAATCATAACATGTATGTTATGACTTACAATTCATGGTCTTGCTGCTCTTGCGGTGGTTTCGTTCACATAACATGTTCCAAAACTGGTATGGTATGACATGATTGCATGGCGAACACAAGCGACCAACCATAAGATGAAAATAATGACATGCGTGTCATGTAACAACATGAATACATGTCACGCTCATGATGCGCTCTCGGCCATTTCGCTAGCGTCAAATATACCAAATTTGGTATTACGGTACGTCAACGGATGACGAAGGTACCTGACTGGTGCAAACATGATAATCATGAGATGTGTGTCATGTAACAACATGACTTTATGCCACGCTCACGATGTGCTGGTGGCTGTTTCGCTAGCTTCACTTATACGAAATTCGGTATTACGGGACGTGAATTTATAACGAAGGTATAAGACTGGCGCAAACATCATAAACATAAGATGCGTGTCAAGTAACAAGATGACTACATGCTACGCTCATGATGCGCTCGCAAACGTTACACTAGCTTCACATATACCAAATTCGGTATTACGCGACGCGAACGGACGACCAAGGTAAATGACACACTCGAGCATGATAATCACGACATGCGTGTCATGTAACAACAATACTACATGCCACACTCATGATGCGCTCGAGGCCGTTCCGCTAGCTCCCATATGCCAAATTTGGTATTACGTGACGTCAATGGATGACGAAGGTAAGTGACTGGTGCAAACTTGATAACCATGAGATTTGTGTCATGTGAGAACATGACTACATGCCACAGTCAAGGTGCCAATACATTTGGACGTGACTCGGCGCGTGTGCGCACCGGCGTTCATTTCGTCGCGTCACGCCGGCGTTGCCACGCCAGGCATGCGCGTTCCGGTGCGTCCGGCGACCCTCCGTCTCGAAAAATGGCAGACGGAGTGCTGTCGGGGTAACGCATGGGCGCCAAATGCAGCATGTCGCATTTCGCGCCGGATGCCGTCCGGCCGCGCTGATGGACGCTGGTCGCGCCTGGCGTCAGACTGTAGTGTGCTCACGTTTTGCTAACGTAGCGTCGCTGTGCCCAGCGTGTGCGCACGTCAACGTTATGTTGGAGTATATCGGACCCTTCATGATGCACTGGAGGCCGTTTCTCTAGCTCCACATGTACCAAATTTGGGGTTACGTGACATCGATATGTGGGGTTTAACGTCCCAAAACCACTATATGATTATGAGAGACGCCGTAGTGGAGGGCTCCGGAAATTTAGACCACCTGGGGTTCTTTAACGTGGGGTTACGTGACATCAATGGATGACGAATGTGTATGACTGGTGCAAACGTGATAATCATGACACGCGCGTCATGTAAGAACATGACAACATACCATGCTCATAGCGTGCTCGCGCCTGTTTCGCTAGCTCCATGTATACTAAATTTGGCATCACGTGACGTGAATAGATGACGAAGGTAAACGAGACATCCAAACGTGATAATCATGACACGGAAGTCGTGTATGGCATAATTTACCTCCACCTCGTAACGTTGTGGTGATTCGAAAGTGGCATATCAACCTTCTTCATTCGTGCTTCGCATATAATCGATTCCCATTGTACGTGGGATCTGCCAATTTTTTACACCTTGAATATTATAAAATGGCTGCGTGTGCATGCATGTTCACCAGATTATATGTAGAGTGTACGTATACATATGCTTTCTTATAGGTTTACGCGAGCATACGCACAACTGTGCAAAACAAAAACGCTTCGCAGGTCTTCAGAGTCGAAGCTCCTTAAGGCTTGGGTCGTGTGTCTCCTGTATGTGGTAGCCACCTCTCATTTTATTTCTTCAAATGTCCGCTGGATGGCGGTACTTGTATATGACGAATGTACGATGGCGGTACTTGGAGTGTTCACTAGATGGGCGGACAGACAGACAGACAGACAGACAGACAGACAGACAGACAGACAGACAGACAGACAGACAGACAGACAGACAGACAGACAGACAGACAGATGGATGCACGGAAAGACAGGCAGACGGACGGATGGACGGTCAGACGGACGGACAGAGAAATGGACTGACGGATGGACACGGCCAGTGGATGATTCACGGTTTGCCGATAAACCCTTTCGAAGCTTCGCCCTACTCATCATTAATCACTCCGCGGATATGCTGTGATTTTTTTTTCGTGTTTTTGTAGTTGTCTTTCCAGTCAGGGAGGTCTGTTCTTGATCAGTTTTGTTATTTGGGGTCAATGTAAAGCATGTTAGAATTCATCCAAGTTCGCGTAATTATCGTCGTAGGCCTGCTTTTGTGCGCATATAAGAAGGTACAGTCACGAGCATGCTTAACGTGAGCACACCAGCGCGTGTCCTGCCATGCTGTCACAGACACCTGCTTAAACCCAAACGAGTCTCAGCACATGCGCAGTGCATTAGCGCTGAGTATACACATATATTGCACCATGTAATGCAGCATCGAGTGGCTGTGTCATTTGAGAGATCTTTCGTCGAAGGCGCTCACCGATGACGCGATGCGTACGCACTGTGGTAGTGAAATGACCAGGATGGTAGTGGTTAGAAGATGAAAAAAGCCACCTAATTTCTGCAACCCGGTCGGGAGCACGGCGCAGTGCCTGAAATGACCAGGCTGCGAACGAACTGCGCATGTGCCGAGCCTAGCGTCTGTGTTGTTATAACTAGTACAGGTGTCGCTGACAGCCCAATGCGGCTGACTTCAGGCGTGGCATGCACTTCCGTGTTCATGCAAAGTGTGCTCACGACACTATGAAATAAGGCACGCGGTCTGAGAATCAAGCAGCTCAAAAATAAAAAGTTTAAAAAGAAATCAGATACGATTGCATGAGTTAAAATTAAGATAATTGAGGTCCGACTACATTACCTAAAGGACGTCATATGAGATCGGCGCCTTAGTAACGATACCGAGCATAGATCTTAATTCACTGCCAGTTAATGAACTGGTTTGTAGTCCACGTGACGTGAAAAGATCGGGATGAACGGTTTGTGGTACTGGACATCTAAAAAACCACAAAACACGGAGTGACCACAACAGGATCAGTAGGGTACAAAGCCACTGACTTGAAACATGAAAGCTACCGCGTTGACCAACCGACGACGAAGGGTATGAGAATCTTCACGTTTTCGAACGGTGTGGGGTCAGCTAAATCAATGCCACTTAGACTTTTAAAAAGGTGTAGGTAGTGTTGGCTAAGTACGGTTCTCGTGCACCATTACTTCACTCCTTGTACGGGCGTCTTTTGATCAAGTTTTATGATTTTACCCAATATACAGCCGGCAAAGCAATGTTGTTTGTGTGGATACAAGCGGTATTTCTGATGTTGAAATGAATGAACAACAGTATTGTTCCTTTGTGAGTCTCACTGTTTGGTACTCTAACAAGTTACGTATTCAGATAAAAACTCTACAGATGAGCACTTGGAGGACGCTTGAGAAAAGTAGAACGCGATAGCGTAAGCGGGCCCCGTTCACAACCCCTTCTCAACCGCCAGCCCATAGCCTCCCTTCTCTGTAGACAAGGTAGGGAACGTCCGCGCGCGTGACGTTGACCGTTTCACATCATCCCATAGAATGCCTGCTGCAAGTATACTCACGCAGTGTCCACTAGGCCATAAATCTTCGTTTCGCGTATTTGCGAAGTATACCAAATAAGTCAATGTCAGACAGCGCATCTGCTCACCTTGTTGATGCTGCTGCTTCTTTCAATTATGCCTTAGCGCTTTGTAATAGGTGGGCCTTCAATCTACCCACTCGTTACGCAATTCATGTTTTGACACCTGGTGTGATGCTACCCTTCAGCCACGACATATTGCATGCGTCAAGAAGGCTCCTCGCACTGCATCACACCTGCGTAGGGATTTCTCGTGAAACAGTTCTAAACGGGCGTGGCTGTATCACTGCTTGCTACACAGAAGGCCCGAGTTTGATTCTCGCAAGAACCCAATCTTTTCATTATTTATCTACATCTTCCTTCGTGGTTTGCTATTAGAAGCGGTTTCGCTAATGTTATCGTGTTAAAATGACAGAATTCGCGCAGACTTCGGCGTATTTTATTGAGTCAAGCCCGCGTTGTCGCACAAAAATGATAATTGGACATAAGGAAACATATTATTTACAACACAGTGAGGTGTTGCAAAGGCATTTAAAAACGAGCGCCGCTACAGATGTACTTGAACAACGCCAGTATGACAAGCTTGCATAGCAATGAACGTATGAGTGTTCGTACGTATGCACGAAGACCCTACCAGAACAGGGTCTTGGGCGTGTGGTATACTGTTCATAAGAACACCGCTCTGCATTACACAGTATCAGTTGACACATATCAGATATTGATGCAATGCAAAGAATAATCAAGTGTTATTATTTGCCAGTCGCCATCATAACGGGAGTAACGAAGACATTTTAGCACTGGTCGTCTTCAAAAGAGAACACACTTATGCGACGTTCCCAACTGTAGTCATGCGTCGGTAATGTGAGTCAATGCAATGACTTATAAGTTTTACCATCATTGTACTCTGAAGAGCACTGAGCTATGCAGAAATCTTTTGTTTTGTTTTTTTGATTATCGAAAGTGGTAACATCTACGGTGAGTGTGAGCGAGGCTTCTGCACACGGTAAGATTTTCGCCTGAAGGAGCGTCTGATGAAATCAGGAAAGCGTTCAGGTAATGGTCGATCTTGAAGATTTTGGTCTCGGCAGGTGGGCTGTAATGAAAATGAAGAAATTATTTAGCGCTAGATAGAATATGGTCCAGAATATACGTTATCAATTAAGCAGCTGGCACCTGACCTTATATATTACGTATATCCCAGATTCCACATGCAGTGAATAAACGAAAGAAGAAAAATAGCGCGTAACTGACGTCATCTGGGCAAAAAGTTCCGCACTCACCGCGTCGTGGCTACGAGCGGTGCTGACCAACACTTCCACGTTTGAGAGCTCAGAAACACCCGAAAAAAATTTTAGGGAGCGCAACAGTCACCGTAGTTCACTTGATAAAGTATCGGATGCGTTATTTGAAAGTTCCAGGTTCGGCCCCGGCCACTGGCATGAGATCTTGATTTCTTCACGTTACTATAATTACTATGCTACAGTTAAAATACTGCAATTATTGTACCCTATACTCTCACTGGCCTCATTTTCTGTTGGTTTTAATTGAGGTTTTCACTAACGAAGAAACGGGCCCTTGAGTTCCTTTCTTCCGTTGATACATATAGTCGGACACTCGTCCAAGTTGTGCGTACGAAGTAATTTAAACGTGGAACCGATACTTGTTGACAATCCAAATTTCTGTTGGGCGAAATTTGTTCTTTGCACTTAGCTGCTCTCAAATCTCAAGGGGAAGGTTTCATGGAAGACAGCACATATATACCGCGACGGCTTTGGTCAATACTATTGTTGCGTACTATCCATATACTCTACTAAAGTCCAAGCTAAACAGTTCAAAAATAAAAAAAGGAACTGTCACGAATGTTATGTTCAGTTCGCTGTGGTATCAATGTTTGATTTCAGTACATTTTGGTCTATTATGAAAGAGAACATGCGAGCACGTACACTTCCTTTTGTGACGGCGGCTTTGACAACCGAAAACTGTTAGCAAGGGGAAAAATGTGAACTTTTGCAGTCTTCTTTAATCGGGCGAGATTATGAGGCACGGAAGATAGGCAAAGGTCCGCTAGATTCCCTCTTCTGGTAGAAGGATGTTCTGGTTACGAAAGTATAACAACAGCGAGCACACTTCCCTTGCTACCATTTATTGGTAGCCTAAGCTACCGTCGTCTACAGCACATGCCATGCACTCGCGTGTTCCCTTTCATAAAAGACCACGCTGCCGAAGTACACAGCTAAGTTAACCTGATGCGCTGTGCTCATGTTTACGGACGTAGCCTACCTCGTATAAACGTTCTAGAAGCAAACATATACACATCTCAGAATTATATGAACAGTGCTTGCACTTACAGTCCACTGATCACCTGTCACGTACGTGGACGACAGCTCCAGGTCTTCCACATCTTTCCCGCCATTTCGCCTGAACATGTCGATAACCTTATCCTTCAGAGTTGATGGCGATTTAAAGGGCACCACGGTCCGCTGCGAAGTGCCACGTTGCGTTAGTGCGGGAAGCGACCTACGACTTGGTCGTGGAGGAGTACCAGCTGGGGGCTTTCTTAGAACGGATGCATCGCGTACGGTGGCTTGCTTCGAAGCGTCGGGGAGCTCAGCCGTGGGCAAGCAAGCGTCTCCGCGTTTGAACCCCAGGCCACTGTCAACAGAAGTGGACCTTCTCGGGTTGCGCTCTTGAAACAGCCGCCTTCTTGACATTTCCCGGCAGTTGGTGGCCATTGGTTCGCTTGGCCGGATGGCTTTGCCCAGGACGTTTACGTTCAACTGACTTTGTTCAGCATACTGACTCTTGCACTGCTTGTATTGACGATGAAGACCACAACTGCTGTGTCGATCGACTGCGCATGCCAGGACGATAAGGCAGCAGTGATAACCTTGCCTACGGTGGCCTGATAAAAAGTGAATCTACAACTAAACGCAAGGCGCCTTCTCCGGGGTTATCTCATTTTAGAAATGAACTCTCGCCACCTTCTAGAGTCCGTTCGAAAACATGTTTTCGTGAGAGCATTCGAAAACTGGTGCTTGATCAATGCCACCTAGGTTACTTCATGCCTGCTCACTGTGCCGGCCACGGACTATGATGTCACTCCGTTTTGACCAGCGTGTTTCGCTGCACAGACGTGTCTACGCTTAATCTCGTCGCTCGACAGACATGGATTGCCGAGCCCGACGAAAGTTTACGTGCCGTGCTAGTGTTCTTGTTGGCGACTTTAGAAGACAACTTTTTTCTGTGTCCGTGAACTTCAGCGTGGATACGTGATGCATTTTGTGCACTGGATATTCGCAATCTGTACGGCTGGAAACCCGAACGGTTGGGGGATGCTGCGTGGCGAATTGTCGGTGCATAGGTACCGATGCTGCGAGTGTTCTTGTTTCCCGAGGACAACCGAAGAACGAAATGGGAGCGCGTCGTTCTTCAAGCTGACGTCGACATCCGTTCTATTCATGACCCGAAGGTACGTGTGTTCGTACTACATATTTTTAAGTCGTTCCAATGACCCCATCGCCACCATGTTCCGTTCTTGCTGCAAAATAAGGTTGTCATGTTTGCTTCTGACTTGTCGTAGGCCCTGTGATTAAATTAATAAACGCGCGTAGCAGAACATCATGAGAACAGGCATTTTCTTTCGGGGTCAGTAAACATTTTGCAACTGGCGATTAGCGCCACGGACTTGTATTACCGCTGTTCACTTGGCTGACAAAAATGGAAGATATATACTAATGCATTAATTAGTGCATTGGTTTCGTACATAGTTTTTTTTGCCAATGTTATTATTGCAGTACTGTTGTGGTCAGTACCTTAATCTAATATATTTCCTTGAAATTTAGATGCGTGTAGACACTTACGGCAAAGCGTTTTCCTAATTGGTTTTCAGGTGTGTAATCTCTATACTTCAAGCTATAGAATAATTAGGAACCACTACCAAAAATATACCAACCCAAGAACCGGCCGTTTGGTAGAAGGACCCACGGGGGCTGCGTGGTTTAATATAGATACAGTAGTAACAGTTTTCCCAAGCCCTAAGTTATATAACCGACTACGCACCACTGCGAGAGGGGCCAGAGCAAAAGAGAAAATGCTGCTTCTTGTGTCGGTCACAAGTGATTTTTGTGAAACGAAAGATTTTGTGTTCTCTTGCAATGGCCATCGCCCTGATATTGTGCTGAATACCATACTTGTGGCAGCAGCAAACACTCTCCTCAATAACTACGTGTCTATGAAGACAGATGTTGGAAAGAGTAAACTGCAGAAACCTTGCAAATGAGTTGGGGACAGCTTCTCTCTCTCTGTGTGTGTGTGTGTGTGTGTGTGTGTGTGTGTGTAAATAAGAAAGAATGAGTAAAATTTGTATTTAACTTGTCAATTTGTGGGCCCATCAAAGTTTGCTCTTATACATCGAACGTTCGATAGCGTCAAGCTCTGGCTTTTTTGTGGAAGGAAAAGCTCACAGGGGAATATCCCATTGCTTTAAAGCGTAATACAATACTTAAAAAGGTGTCTTTTTTCGACCCTAAAGGCAGAATAAAGCTGTTAAGCATGTGGAACTCGTCGCGAACGGTTTTTCTTTTAACGGAAGACGATGCTGGCAATTGAGTCACAGACTCCCGTACGCGCGCTCGCTCGGGCAAAATGAGTGACGTCACGGCGGCAGTGAGCAGGCCTGATAGTCATTGACTTGACACGCACAGCGTGGAAATACTGAAGCAGAGCAAGCCCACGTGTTTTCAGAGTTAATTTGCCACGCCGGAGGAAACGAGTTGTTCTTGAAGGGATGTGTCAGATTTGTAAATCGCGATTTTTTTCTTCAGAAGTGCGCCAGACTGCCTTGGCCAGCTTATAAAGGAGGAAGAAAACCATGCAAAGGAACCCTATGCCAGAGTAATGACAAGGACCATTGCGACAAATCGTTCACGTCATAGACCGCGTCGGAAAAAAAAAAAATACCCTGCTGTCGTGAACAAGATTTTGTGTCAAAGTTGTCAGGCCCGCAATATACGTGAGGTGGCAAGCTTCAAACAGAAGTTATGGCAACACCGCAATGACTTAACCAAAAGAAAGAGCTTTCAACATCATAGCAGACCATCGCGAAAAAAAAAAAAAGAACGGGACAGGGCTTGCGTCGGGTGAAAGAAAAAAAGTATCATCCCGACCCTTCTTTCAATCTTATCACACAAAATCTACTGCTAATTCGGAAAATCGGACACAGGGTACTGTCCTTAAGTTACTGGGCGCGAGGCCCAAAACAGGAAACGCCGGTGCCATTGTCGGCGTGGCGTGCTTGGTAGGATCGTGTGTTCTCAGCGGCCGCGTCGGCTGCTCGTGGCGCACTGCCGTGTACTTTAAAAACGAGTTTCAATACCCGCCGGTGATGCCGTCTCTTCAAATCTCCAATTTAGAACATAATTGAATCCATTGCAATGGGAGTGGCTGCTTCCGAAGGTGACGAACATGACACTTGGTGTCGCGCGGTGCCGATAGTTCACAACGGTGCCCGTTGTCAAGCGGGACCCATTGGGAAAAAAAAAAAAAAAACTGCGTGAAGCATAGGTTATGTTGTTAATAACCGGTAAGCAGCTAGCAGCTACGAGCGGCGTGTACAATAAAAACTTCCCCGATAGTCTTTCGCTACTGCCTCGGGGCTGCGATGTTCGGTGAGTTGCGGAGAGCGCGCCCACTGAGGCGATCGTTCGCGCGCGCTTCCCACCCGCTAATAGTGGTTATCTTTCGCTAGACGGAGAAGGCACTATTGTTTTACCAGGGACAATGCCATCTCGGATATTTCTCGTATATGACCTCTTGGCCGGCTCTGTGCTCAGCGTCCACAACATCGGCTAGATATTTAAAGGGACGCCAGAGAGAAACAATGACTTGGTTGAGATTGACAAACTGCACGGCGAGAAATTGAATGCATTATGTTTCAATCTCATGAAATTTTTAGGAGCGGAGGAAATCCAGGTCGAAGTTTGATTTTTAAATCTCGCACCACCATCTCCGCGCGTGACGTCAAAAATTTCAAGATGTATTTTTTTTGTATTTTCGCGTCATTAGTTGGATGAAATTTTACGAAATTTAGTATGTAGTTCTAGGCAACGGCAGATAACAATGAACTTCATTTTTATCTATTAGGAGCTACGTGGAACTTAGTGGACGCCTTCAAAAATTCGTGACGTCATGGTGTTTGGGGCAGGAATCTCAAGGTGATGTCTCCAACCGCATTTTCTTTTCACACGTTTTCACGCTTACAAAGCGCCATGTCGAGGTAACATTGGTGTTTTCGGGATTGTGAAATTCTACTTTACTAATACGCGGAAACCCGTTTTGCTCTTTAGTGTCCCTAAAAGTAGTTGTTCAGGTACGTTTTATGCATAGGTACTTTATGCATATCCTTAAGATTACTGCATGCAGGAAGCCAAATTCTTTTTCTTCCTCGTGCCAGTCGGTACGTCAGTTCTTCTACGTCCCCCTCCAAAGGCTTTCTGCACCTAATGCGGTCTTGCACTGCCTCCGTGATCAATCCACCGATCATGGTGGCTGCGCAAAAAGCGACCATGACGTGGGAATACTTCATACTATGGGGTGTCATGGGGACGTAATGATGGCTTCGTGTGTACTCCGCCGGCAAACATTGTGTTGCACACATTGTGAAAACCTGTCACATCATTCTTGCTTCCCCATGACGCCACATAAAATGACGTATTCACACGACATGGTCGCTTTGCACAGCCTCCGTGATCAGATGCACACATCGCAGAAACCTATGACGTTATTATGACGTCACATACCATGACGTATTCATTTCTCCTTTGCACTGCCTCGATTGATTAATTGATATGTGGGGTTTAGCGTCCCATAACTACCATATGGTTATGAGAGACGCCGTAGTGGAGGGTTCCGGAAATTTTGACCACCTGCGATTCTTTAGCGTGCACCCAAATCTGAGCACACGGGCCTACAACGTTCCCGCTTCCATCGGAAATGCAGCCACCGCAGCCGGGACTCCTTCCTGCAACATGCGGGTCAGCAGCCGAGTACCTTAGCCACTAAACCACCGCGGCGGGGCATCACTGCCTGTGTGATCGACCGACTGATTACGGAGGCTGTGCAAATAGGCCATGTCGTGTAAGTACGTTATGTTGTGTGACGTCATGGGGACGAAATAATGACGTAACAGGTTTCGGCAATATGTGGAACACGACGATTTAGCTGGTGCATGTACATAATGAACGAACGAAACGCTGCGGCTGATGTGTGATGCATTTAATTCTGCCAGTCAAGCTTACGTTCAGTCGACGGAAATACGCACTAAAAAGCCCAATTTATTGCGCTACTTCCTAAGTAAAGTTGAGCCTCTCCAACCGCCTGTGTTTTAATGCCTAGTTCACACTGAAACATCCGCTTTCTACAGCGACCGAAATTCCCCTGCCGCCGAACGAAGCGTCGTTCGCACTGGACGCGCCCCGCGCCGCCGAATATGCCATCTACTACGGGGCGAACGCGGGATAGATGCGCTGTCACCCGGTTGTTGTCGCGGCTCCCAAACGCTACTACGCTATCCGGTGGTGCATACTTCGACGATTCTCGTACGCAAGAAGCAAGAAAAGACAGTACTGCTTACTTTGCTTGCACGTGGCTGTCTTGTAATGCACGAAGAGCAGAAAAACCACCGACGCCAGCGGCGTTGGTGGGTTCGTTTTGCTCTGCAAGACCGCAACAAGCTCGGTCATGCCAACAGCAAGCTCGGCCACCTATTTCACGAAATACGGAGACGAAGTAGGCACAGAGTAGGTTAAACTCCCGTCGGTTTCAACATTCAGTTACGTGCACTGCGGCATAACTAGTGAGTA